GAGAAATCAGAAATACAAGGGAGACAGGACATGGTTCAGAACACTGCAGGTCAAAGGGGGAAGGAAAGAGCTGATCCGTGTACTGTCCTAGAAATAATGGAAACCTCAGGAGGCTGTGTCCTGATGTGTGATGACACGAAAGGAAAAAGAGTGTGGGCTCTGGAGTCACACCAGGAGCCGAGACATGGTTTCCATTTCCCCTCTAAGGTCAGTGAGTCAAGACCTAGTAAGCCCAACTCCCAAACAAACAGCTCAGCCTGAAGGCAAGAGGAACCGAACTAGAGCAAAACTGAAGCAAATGTCCTTTCTGACTTACAGCGAACAACAAGGACACATTACACCTGATAGCACGTCCTATGGGCCCGGCACGCTACTCTGAGTTCTTTAAATACATTAACATGTTTAATCATCACAACAACTCTTGAGGAAGTGACTACTATTATCTCTATTTTACAGATGAGGAAACTGAGGCACAGAGAGGCAAGGTCACTTGTGCAAGGCTACCCTGCCAGTGAGCAGTTTAAGAGAAGCCAGGCTTAGATGAGGCTCTTCTGCTTCACCTGACCTTTTGGCTCTGTTTCCTCAATCTGCCTTTCCAAGTCCAGTCTCCTTAACATCCTGGGGTCCTTTAGTGAGCTGAAGGGCACTGCCTCCCGGGGAGCGCTGCAGATTTCCAGATGGTACTGCCTTACTTAGAGGAAGCAAGGAGCAGCTCTGGCCATGCGATATACCTGTGGGTAACCCCACACCCTTCCCCTTCCATTGCAGAGCTCTGGGAAATTCCCAGAGCAAATAGAAGAAGGGTGGAAGGAGGGAGGGAAGGAGGAGAAGGAGAGAGGGAGGGAGGGAGGGAGGGTGAAAGGAGGCTCTCCTTTTTGTATTCCCTTCACCTTCCTGTCAAGTGTCAGGGGAAGAAGAGAATGGCCTCTAAGGGGACTCATGAACTTTCGAATATGAAGAGCCCTTGTTAACGCCTAAAACTTTGTTAGTAAGTGCATTTAGAGGATTGAGAGAGAACATTTGCACCCATGGGTACTTGGACACCTTGTAATAACTGCTTCTTACATCCCCCTTCCCCCTAACAATCATGGCTGGGGAACCTCTACGCCAAGGCTTCTAAAAGTTTGATCCAGGACCACCTGAAACTTGTCAAAGATTTTGGGGCCTCACCTCTGACAATCTCTGGAGGTGGGGCTTCTGAATCTGCATTTAAACAACTCCCCAGCTGATTCTTATGCACACTTAAGTTTGAGAGCCCCCGAATTGTGATCTGAAAATAATACAGTTCTTATGCTTCCCCTGGCGCTAGAGCAGTAATGTGATGAGAAAGCAAAGTGGCTTTTGACCTCAGGATTTTTAATATATTCACGAGCTAAATCGAAATGACAGAGCCCTGAGATTTGTGCCTTTGGGCATGCTGTGCTTCCCTTCATCCTGTCAGTTCCCTGGTGATCTTTTCTGACCTTAAAAGGTTTTTTTAAGCCCTTGACTTTGGCAAAGTTTCAACCAGGAATATTTTTGACTTCAAAGTGATCTATAGCTGGGAGATTATTTCTGGCATGTGTTATAATGATGAGTCGAAGCTGAGGGAGGGGGGATGCTCCATAGGTGGTCCTATGAAACAGACAACGTTTTGATCATTCTTAATCTAAGCTGCTTTATTGTCATAGAATCCAGGAATGTCTCATCGTGGGAGTTAATGTCTGTAAATAAACCTATCTAACAATGCCTCAGATATGTTTTCAGAATCCAGGAAAGTGTGTGTGTGTGTGTGTGGCACTTTTTATGAACTTCCTGTCCAGACCTAAGGTTTACCTAAAAGCTACCAGCCACCATAATTTTCACCCTATGTACAGCTCTTCCCACACCTGCATCTTTTACCTTAATTCTTTTTTCCCAGTGGCTTGTGTGAAGCATTCTCTGATTCTTCCCAAGTTCCTCGAGGGGAAAAAAGGTGCCAGGTTGGAGAAATTACCCATGAGCCATCCAATACAGGTTGGAGTATGATTTTTTTTTTTTTTTTTTGGTTAAGATAGATAAGCAACCTGATCTGCTGGAAGAAATGTGCTAACTTGGGTCTGACTTCAGAGGGTTGGGTGTGATGTCTGTTGTTTCAGCAGTTCCAGAGACATGATTGACACCCTGCCCATGCAAGGCATTGCAGGGGATACAGAGATGAGTAAGACCTCATCCCTAAGCTTGAGAAACAACCCATTAGAGGAGGGACAAAGCAAGTCCACAAATGTTAGAGTAAGAGAAACACCAAGAATGGAGAACACAGTGTTAGGGGATTCAAAAGAGGCAGGAAAAGCTCCTGCTCTCTCCCCAGCAGGCCAGGGTATGAAGACATTCCCCAGGCATTTTCCATAAGACTAGCCCAGAGCCAGCTTTATTAGGTTGTGGACTAGGCAGTGGTGTGATTTTAGGCAGGGCTCCCAGCCCCAAATAGCAGTTCCAGTGTCTGTGATTCTATTGTAACTTTGTTCTCCTAGGTCTTGAAAGCTCTCCTCTTGGTAAGGTCTTCTTTTAACGCAGATACTTCTGATGGGGCCTTAAATCACATTGAGCTAGTATCTTAATATTTAGCTACATCCTTAAGTGGGCCCAGGGAACGAATTGACAGTCCAGTGAACACAATCCCGTCTAGGATGCGGCTTCAGATGAGCAGTGGAGGGGAAATCAAGTGTGGGTTCAAGTGTAGTGACAGAAGGGGTAGAAGGGAACTAAAAATAAACTGCTTGGTTCATCTGTCTGTCAGAGGCTGGCTCAAGCCATCCTTTGAGGGTTCCCACTGATAACAAAGGAGTATTTGATGAGCTTTAAATGGGATTAATAGAGCCTTTTTTGGTGGACTGAGAAATTAATACTAGCACTTTACATCGAAAGACCTACAATTTTGCCTTAACTTAGCAATTCTACTCTTAAGAATTTAACATGATGAAATAATTACAGATGCACACAGATTTGATTCATTCTTCACTCTCCAATTCAACAGTCATTTCTTGAGTATGTACTACATGCCAGAGACTGTTCTAGGAACTGGAATTACAGCAATAATCAAAGCAGACAGAGTCCCTGACCTCATGGAGCTTACATTCTAGTTGGGAGAGACAGACCATAAGCAAGTCATAGTACTACCAATCTCATGGGCAGTTTTCAGCCCACATTTTATTAGACCTCTCAGTCTCTTCCTTCTGGAAATAGTTTCTTCACTTATTTTTTTCTGGGACTCCACATTTTCTTACTTTCCTGCCCGTCTATCTTGGTATCCTTCGTTGGATCCTCATCTTCCTGACTTTAAATTGGTGGACCCCAGAGCTGAGCCTTCAAAAAGTTCTTCCCTCCTTCACTCAACAGCAATATGCTGATGATCCAAATTTATATTTCCAGCCTTTGCTGCTCCCCTGAATTCCAGTCTTTTAATTCCAATTGCCTACTTGACATCTCCACTTGGCTGGCTTCTCAAACTTAACATGACCACCAAAATCAAACTCTTGATTTTCCACTCCAAACTACTCTTACTTGAGTCTTTCCCTTCTCAGTTAACGGCAATTTCATTCTTCCAACTACTCAGGAAAAACCTTGGAATCATCTTTGACTTCTTTCTTTCTCTTGCAGTCCACATCTGATCTATCAGATTTAGCTACAAAGAATTCCATCACAGCGTTGTTTATAAAAAGAAAACTTGGAGATGATCTAATTGTTCAGCAGGGGAAGACTGGTTAAATCACAGGACATGTAGCCAATAAAAGCAATGTTGCAGGTTAATAGGTTACTGTATAATGAAAAATGTCAAACATACTCAATAGTAGAGAGCTCTGAACCCCACCACTCAGCTACAACAATTCTAAACTCATGACCATTCTTGCTTAATTGATACTGCTAGTTCTCTGCCTCCTCCCCCATGGGATTGTTTTTAAGCAAATCCCAGATATCATATTATTTAATATGCAAATTACATAACATATTATGTTACAAAAGCAGATTATAAAGAAATATGCTTTATGATTTCATTTTGTAAAATATATGTATGCATAGGAAAAAGTCTGACAGGACAGCTATCTCTGAATCATAATATATGAATGATTACTGATATCTTCTTTTGCTTGTGTATGTTTTCCACGATGAACATGTATTAAGTGGAGAAAAGATGTTGGGGGGTGGGAGAAGATGTTGATGCCAGACATTCTAGGTCTATTCTTTTTCTAAATTTGATTCCTTTAATTCAGGCTGGGTACTTCACATTGTGAAACAGAAATAACCACTTCGTGGAGGTGAGGATCATTGACTGTCAGCCTGTTTTCTCTTTGGACAGTCCGTAATTAAAAGTTGCCAATTAACGTCTATGGTTATAGCAGGGTTTCTCAACTTCAGCTCTATTGACATTTTGGGCTGGATAATTCTTTGTCGTGGAAAGCCATTGTTCCTATTGGAGGAGGTTTTGCAGCATCCCTGTTCTTTACCCATTAGATGCCAGGTAGCATACTCCGCCCACCCTCCCCTGTTGCAACAGCGAAAAACATCCAGAAATTACCAAATGTCCCCCTGTTTGCAAAATCGCAAAATTACCCTGTTTGAGAACCACTGCACTACAACATGTGTGCAAATTACGGTGCCTAGGAGATTAGCAGTAAAAATGTTCTCTTTCACTCATCTTGCTGGCTGAAACCTCAAGGAGAATGTAATTTGTGATCTGATGAAAGCTGCTTTTGTGGTTTACTGACCTGCACGTTTAATTAACCAACCTATGACTCAGCGGTTAATGATTATCTGCATTTTTGAAACATATCCAGAAACAACCCAGACAAGTTCAACTCTACGAGAAAAGCAAAGGTCGCGAATGAAAGATTGCTTGTCAGCTACCATAGTGATCAGTTAGATTTGCCTTGCCAGCCTACCAACTGACCCAGTTCACTATTTATTATCATGCACCACTCAGGGAAATATTGTGTGGAAGTTAAAAATGGGAGATTTCTTCCTAGAAAATTAACAATGCTACATATATATAAAGTTCCTTTTTATTAGTAATAAACACATAGAGTCAGTTACAGAACATAGAAGGGTATTTACATATTGCATTTTATTTGGATTTTTCCCCTCATAATGGAAACATTATTAGAGAACCATAGAAATGAGATAAGGGAAAATATGAGGTCATCTTAGCCATTCTCTTCAAGGGCTACACTGTTCTGTGTGCCCCCCCACCCCCAACATCCAGTCCAGAGTCTTACTAAATATTCCTATTTTAATAATATATGATATTCCTCATGTTTACCCCCTGGAGAGTAACTCAATAGATGAGCAGAGGACATAAGTCAGTGGTATCATAATCTTCCAAAGTTTACTTCTTTAGTTAGTGGCACTGTGTTGGTTGCATAGAAAATAAAACTTCTAGCAAAGTCTACATCAGACATCTGTGGTCCAGCTTGCTCAAGTACAACACAAATCATGTCTTAAATATCTTCACACAATTATACAACTTCATAGAGTGCATCTGTGGGATCTTGAGTCCTAATGATTTGTTTCCTGCAACTGCTGGGTATCCTAATTCTAGAGCACACTGTAGAAGATATTTATAAATCTCCTTCCACTTTCTCATGTTTACCAACTTTGGAATCAATGCTTAAAGTTTGTTTTTCATGAGAACATCCAGGATTTTCTTTAACGGTAAATAAGAAAAATAATTATAGTCACGTGCCACATAACGTATGGGGCAACAGCAGACCACGTATACGACGGTGGGCCCATAAGAGCGGTACCATACAGCCGAGGTGTGTGGTGGGCTGTACCATCCAGCTTTGTGTGAGTGCGCTCTGTGATGTTCACACAGTGATGAAATCGCCTAAGGACACATTTCTCAGAATGAATATTCGTTGCAAAGGGACACATGACTGTATTATTAACGAAGTACCTTCTGTTATTTCAGCTATTATGGGTCTATGGCACATGAGAAAACCAAGGCTCACATAGGTGACGCACTTTATCCAAAGTCTTACAGCTTCTGCAAGGCAGGATCCCGATTCAACACACAGTTCAAGTCTGACACTACAGCTCATGTTGTCTAAATAGTTACAGGATGTGAGATTTTTCTCTTAAGTGCTTGTGTTAGGAAAAATGTACTTGCTTGGACTCTTCAAAACAGCCCGTCTGCAACAGCCTGAGGGCTGTATCTAAGAAGAAAAGCAGAAGTCAGTCAGAAGAAAACACCGAGGAACGAGGACCCGGTGTGCCCAGGGAAGGGACTGGACTGGGTTGAGTTTTCTTACATGTAGACAAATAGCCCAAGTGCTTTGTATAGTGACAAAGAATAAATTGGACCTTTCTTAAGCCAGGGGGATCTTAGAGAGGAGGACTTGTTATGGAAAATTCTCGAAATTCAAGGGGGCTGACGGGGGGCTCCACATTTGGTCTCTGTTGTCCATGCTGCAGACCTTTAAGGGGAGAGGATAGGTCAGCACCAGCAGTCTCACACTGAAGCGTGGAAAATGCCAAGCGTAGAGCATGAAAAAAATGTGGCCACAGCTAAAGAAAACAAACCCAAACTCAAGCCCAACCTCAAACCCCCGCCCAAACCTCAAACGGGTTGTGGGAAAGAATTCTACTAACAATTGAAAAGGGAACAGCTAACTGGACTTCAGGCTGTGAGCGTTCAGCCTGATTAATTAAGGTCAAGGTGGTGATGGAAATACCAGCTGGGGAGCATTTTGCCGAGAGATAAATTTGTCCCTCTGTATCTCTGCAAGACAGCAGGGAGGTGTGTGTTTGGAGCTAAATTAATTTGATTTACATCACGCCATGGTAACTTCTGTTCCCTCTCCCCGCTGTCAGATGTCTTCTCCGGCTTTTTCCCCCTCCTCCTTCACCCCCACACGTTTCCCAACACGGAGAGAAAGCACGGATTGGCTTCGGGCAGAATTTAGAAATGGAATAACTCTCATTTGATTATTCTGCATTGAGTGCTAGTCTCTCCTCCCCTCCCCCTTCTTTCTTGAGGGAGAGAAGTTGTAAACCCGAGCACCAGGGCGATGCATTTTTCTATCGCGTTTAATGGCACAAACTGCTCGACAATCAGAACTTGTTCCTTGTAGCAAAATCTGGCAGCTCACCTCTTCTCCTCCTGTGTTTCTTCAACAATAATAATACGAGAAAATGATGTTACGGCCCAGCATCTCGTTAGCAATGCGCTTTTTCTGGCCTTGTAGATTTCATCTCCGCCGGGCTCGGGGACGCCGGGGTGGAGGGCGCTGCTCCGGGACCCCCGGGCTGGGGCTGAGCTCGGGTTCTGGCCCAAGCGAGCCGCCTGCACAACCGGGCCCCGGCCGGGCCCGCCGCCCCTCGCCCCATCCCGCGGCCGGGCGGGATAAGGTTACGCCGAGGCCTGCTTGGACGGGAGGAGGGAGGCGGGCCCGACGCGCGCCCCGGCCCACGGGGACTTCGCACAGCTGGCAGCTCGGCCCGGCGGGGCCGCCTCCCTGCTGCCGGCCGCTGAGCGCAGCCCCGGGCCGGCCCCGCCATGGCGCGGGAGAGGCCGCCCGCGAGGGGCTGCGGGGCCCTGCGCCGCTGTCTGCTCGGCGCCGCGCTGCTGCTCGGCCTGCGGCTCTGCGCGGAGCTGCGGCGCGCCGGGCCCCGGCCCCCGGCCCGCAGCGCCCCGCCGGGCACAGCCCCCCGGCCGCCCGAGCCGCACCTGCCGCCCGCGCCCGGCCCGCCGCGCGGCGCCAGCAGGAGGCGGGTGACCTACGTGCGCAGCGGGCGCCGAGCGCCGCCGGGGGGCCGTGGGAGCGGGCCCCCGGAGCCCGGCTGCTGCGCCCCGCGCGGGCCTCCCCGACGGAAGGTCAGTTGCAAACGGTGCAGTCTTGGGCCTCTGACCCGAATCCTCCTCCCCGACTGCGGCCACCCCGCTGGGGCTTTCCAACAGTCTTCTGCTTCTCTTCCCCCTGCCCTCTCTTGGGCGGCTCCACGGGACGCATCCTTCTGTGCCCAGATAAAATGAAGTGGGGCTGAGCAGAGTTCATTCAACATTAACCAGTATATGCTGAGGGTTCACTGTGTGCCAGGCCCCTTGCTCTGCGGGCATCCAGCAGTGGAGGGCAAAGCCCTGCTCCCACGGGGCTAATATATCTAGGGAGGGGACCATATGAGTGATGGGCAGGGAAAGGGAAGAGAAACGAGTGGTGGTTTTGCTTCTCTTCTCTTCTGTGCTTCTCCCAGTTTTCCCTCGAGGCCTGGACAAAGCTGGGCGGGTATCCACTGTGAATTGCTTTTCCGCTACCTTCGTCGCGGTGATTAAGACCCACTTTCCAGCCCCTTTCGGTTGCGTTCCATCGCAGACCTTGGCAGGGTGGCTGGGGGGCGCAGGGTGAGAAGTCGAGCCCCCAGCACCGCTTAATGGGAAGTTAACTGGAACTTCGAGGACTGAAGTAATCACCTGGGTTTGTCTTAAAACCCTCGACAGCGTTGCTCTTCCTAGCTCATTAACGTCTTGGCTCACCCCTCACTGAGTAGTCCCATTTTAACCTCTGATTGTTAAGCCTCTGGCCTCCTACCCTCCTTTTAGAGCTCAGTAATTTACTTGGTAGTTGGGAGAGAAAAGATTAAGAACTGCAGGCAGGAGCTTGCCTGGCTCTTATACCCCTCAACCCTAACCGCATCCTCTGGGGCAATTTATTTCTGTTGCCTGGCTTTTCTTTCTCCTTCTTGCCCACTACCCCACCTCTTGGGGATGGAGGAAAACTCTTCTTGGACTCTGCCGCTTTCTTTGGCTTCCCAGTTTTACCCTCCTTTGCAGTGTCATGCCCCAGCATTTCTTCCCCAGCTTTCCTTCCCTCTACTTTCTCTTTGAGCCTTGCTCTGTCTTTTCACACCACTGCCGTCCCTGTCTAGGCCATCAGGGTTATCTTCCTCAATAAACTCAAATAGTTTTTCCTATCTCTGAACCCTCACTTCCCATGTAAAGTCTTAATTGGCTCTCCCAGAAGAATGCGGCCACTTCCTTCTCCATGCTGCTGATGCACTTTCCAGAATATCCTGTCATGCATCCAACACGCTCTCACCAAGACCTTATCAGGTCCCAGATGCTGCGTCAGGTGCTGGGGGGCACAGGATCTGTGGGGGCGGCACTCAGCACAGGCCTCCAGTAATGTGACCCAGGCTGTAATTAAGGCCTTGAACTCTGCCTGGGGAGTGAGAAAGGCTAACTGAGAGGAGACATTTGACCTAGGATTTGATGTTGCTTAAGAGTTCAGGCTCTTTTGTCTCTCTACATGTCCTCAAATGCCGCCTCCTTGATACCCTCAACCCCACCCTGCACTTTTCCTTTCACATCCGCTCTCAGCCTCCGTTGTTTCTGTTGTCACCTGTCCAAGAATCACTCTTAAATGTTAGTCTCCACTATGGACAATAGTATTGATAACTGGAGCCTGTCCTACAAGTGGAAAGTTAGGAACGCCTAGACTCAGGGGTCACTGGAGGGGAAGTTCACATGCACCCCCTTGGGAGGCTGTTGCAGTGATTAGCGCTGGGGATGGTGGTGGCTTAGAGAGGGTGGCAGACGTGGAGGTGTGAGGAGTGGTCCGAGTCTGGATATATTTTGAAGGAAGATGAGTAGCTTTGTTGTTGTTTAGTTTTCTCTTTGGGAGGGAATGCCTGGAAATCAGGAGTTTGGTTTTCACCATGTTGAGTTTGAGATGTCCTTTAGACGTCCAGGTGGAAATGTCAAACATGAGTGTGGAGTTGGAGGAAACGTCCAGGCTGAAGATAGAGACGTGCGAGTTATCATTGTCCAAGTGGCAGGAAAGCCCTGAGACTGTAGGAGATCACTTGGGAGGGAGGGTGGCCGACAAAGACAAGAGAGCCGGGTTTCATTAAAACTGAATCAGAAAAAACAGAAGGAAATATCTGCGTAGAGTCTGGCAGGTTGTAAGCACTCAGTAACGGTAGCTTTGATTTTCACTGATCTGTCCCAAGTCTTTAGTGTCAGCCATTCCCCAGATGTAGTTTGTTATCACCCATTTCCATTTGGCTTATGTTGGTTCTTTTGCCTTCGAGGCCCCATCCTGCTTGCTTGTGATTCATGTGCTTTCCATCCTTGGACGTTCAGGTCAAGGATCATCGCCTGGAAACCTTCCCATATCAATCCTACTTAGTGCTGATTTTTCCCCAGTTTGGGGTGACAACAGAAATGCCTTCTGATTTGTGAGTTGCTTTGTACAAGTTGCGACCCGGTAATCTGTTTCAGATTGAATGCTTTTCCCCACAGTTGTTCTCGATGGAAAAGATTGCATTTCTCAAAGTGACCCCTGGTAAACGCTTACTCCTGAGACACCAATATGTAAAAAATATAAGAATCTTACTATTTCAGCTTATTATGTGTAATTCTAAATGTCTTTGGTTAAAAATATACAAGAAAGAAAGGAGTGAGTTTATTGCTATTTTTAAAATATTGTTTTTAGCCTCCTAAGGAAAAAATTTCCCTGGATTTCCTCCTCCCTAGCTATTAGTTATTTATTTACTTATTTTCAGGATGTGTAGTCTAACTTGCCCAAATTGCTAGATAGTGGGAATCTTGAATTTGTTTCATTTTCCCATTATTTCACAGCTGAATTAAAATGTTCCTCAAAACCGGAAAGACCAGTTATCTAGTCTGTTCTCCCACTTCTGGGAACAGAGCTCTATGCCCTTATCTCTCTGGGAACAAGCCTTGTTCCTTTTTAGCTTCCTATCAAGATATGGTGAAATATAAGCCAAACGCCTGGTTAAATAATTGATATAATTAAAGTTTGGAAGTTATGTGTTAAACTCCTTGGATCTTATTTTATTTAAATTTGTTTGTTGGGAATCATGGTAAACAATGTTATTTAGGTTCTTGAATACTTTGCCATAGGCACCTACCAGATTGGTGAAGGAGAGAAAGTTCCATTCTATTTTGAGGATGGCTTTCTGGGTGGATGGAAACCTGCATGAAATAATTGGGGTGCCGAGTGTTTCTTGTCAACGTGCTTCCTCTGCAGGTGTTAGAGGCACCAAAATTCAGCAATTATATTGCCACTTTAATCACAGCTTATGCTCCTCTTGAAGAAAATAATGTACTATAAAAAAGAGAAGTGTAGTCTTCATATGATTCTTTCCCCCTTTCTTCATCCCCTTCTTTCACTGAACCGTGCAGGAACTAGCTCTAAATGTTAAATCTTTCACATCAGGGATTCTAGTCTTAGAGCATGGTGAAATGAGGGCAGATGATATATGATGGATAAATACTGCCCTTTTTGATGAGGATTACCCTGGAACCCATACATTTTGGTACGTTACAGAGTCTTAAGGGTTCCATCAGAGCTTAGTCTCCAAATTCTGCATACTACACACGCATAAAAATATCACTGTAATTCTTTTCTTTACTCCTCTCTCTGTTTTCTGTTTCTTTCTGTTTTTTGTTTTTCTTAAACAGGCATTTACTATGTTTACATGGGTAAAATTCTTTTGGGGAGCATTAATAGAGGACTAAGATATGGTCTCCATGATTTGTGCTTCTTTATGTAGCCTTGGGTAGATGTTTCTCTTACAGGTGGGCAATCCACCTAAAAGACAGCAGCAAAATATTTGGCTCATTTGCACGGGAGAGGCACTCATACAGGAGCCAAGCTTCCTGAAGAACTTTCTTCTCTCTTATCGGAGATATTTTACTTGACATTTAATGTGTTGGATAGAAAAGTGACTTCTGAGTCATAGAGCCACAGAACCCAGCCATGTGCTGGCTTGGTTTGTTAATTACAGATCCTTTGGAACAATGTGTCAGGAAAAAAAAAAAAAAAGCTGTTTCCTCTCCTGAAAAACCATATGGCAAAATTTGGTCGTTCTTCATCACTTCTCATAGAACTCTTAGTTTTCTAGTTCTGTGATTGTCATCAGGAAGAAAGAGGAAAAATGGCATAGTATGCCCCTTGCTATATATCCAACTGCCTTAAAAGTCCTTATTCTTTACAAAATACTTGCAGGTCGGGTTGAATTGCTTGTAAAATATAGCCCAGCAGTCGTTTCCAGCTACTTAGGGTTTTGCTGGGTACCTACACTTCTGTCCGTCAGGGAACAACATTAATCAGCCCTCTCTCACTGTCCTCAGGAGGCAAAGCGTTTTCATTTTAAACAAAGTCCTGGAGGGTAATTGAATGTGCTCCAGCAATATGTGGGTGTGAAATAGCAGTTGCTTGGTTTCACAAAGAAAAGCAGGTTTTGATTAAAACTTTGATGTGCCTTAGATGAGGAATAGGCCTGTGTACTCCTTCCAAACCCCGCAGTCCTCAGAGAGCATTCTCTGGGCAAAAGAACCGCTGATGGAGCTCCATTGTTTTTCAACAGTCGGTGGTGGAGATTTTAGGTTTTTATGTGCAATTTGTCCAGTCCATTTTCTCCAAGGAAAAGAAACCCTTATCAGTTTTCTCGAATTGGATTTCCTTTTTAGTCTGTGGAGAGGATCAGAGCTGTGTGGTTAGACTGGAGACTGTTCAGGGTGGGGGCTATTTGAATTTTCCCATTTGTGCTATGACACCTTAGGAGTCCTTGTGCTTATAAGGAGTTTGGCTCTTTATTCTGTGATTCATAGAAAGTAACAGGAGCCTGATTCATTTACCACAAGACACACGCTAAGGCAGGAATCTACCGGCAGAGATAAGCTTCTTTTAAAAGCAGCCCTTGAGTTCTCTAGATATCTCACATTGGCCCCATTAATGGCTTATGCAGTTTTCTGCTAAAAGAGGGTGGGAAAATTTGCTGCCCAAGAAGCATTTTTATCCTGCTCAAATGACCGAAACAAAATTGAGTTTTATGAGCCTTACAGTCTAG